AGCAACGGGAAGGTCTGGGACCAGACCTCCCCAGCCCCGACTCCAGCCCCTCGGGGGGAAGCAGGGCTGCCCCAGACAAGGCTCAGACCCGGCAAACACAGCTCCTGCACAGCCCTCCACGTGGGGGGCAAGTCCCAGGGGCTGCTGCATCCCCCCAGGGAGGGCTGAAGGCTGGTTACCAGCTGCACAGGCAGCCCGGTGCCTCCCAGCAGGCAGCAGAGGCAGGGCGAGACGATGTCTCAGCCCGACTTTGTCCTGGTAGCTTTGAGAAACGAACACACAAACGTGACACGGAAAAGAGCGGCATCACCCAGCTCCCGGCCCAAGCCCTGCCAGGGCACAGGAAAAAGGCTGGAGCCCGAGGAGACAGCGCGTGGCGGGGAGCCGGGGAGCCGGAGGCCAGGCCGGCTCTGAAATTACTGACAGGTGCACAGAGATTTAAAGCCTTTTAGTTTAAACTGAGCTCTCCCCACGGGGGACCCTTCTGGCCTTTGGCTGCTTGATTTGCAATTACAGGCGGGTCCATCTGCCAGGATAACCCCGGCGGCAGCGCTCGGGCCCAGACAAAAGAGCCAGAGGCTCCTCGCAGACCCTGATTGATGGCAGAGGTGACAGAGCCGGTCTTTGTGCTGCACTGCCGCCCTCCCCTGCCTTTCCCCACCCTCCGGCAACCGCCAGCAGCCCCGCAGCCGGCAAGCACAGAGAGGACCCCAGAGGATTGCCTGAACGCTTTATTTCCGACTCGAGCGGTTCCCTTCCTCGGTGCTGAGAGGCTGCTGCCCCAACAAGAGGGGAGGAGAAGCAGGCATGGAGTCCAAACCCAGGAGACGGGGATTTATTGTTGGAGGTTTACGGAAAGGCAAGGCCTCAGGGCCAGATGTGTGCTGGATGCTGCCCGCCAGACCGGGAGCTCTGGAGGTCACAGCGTGGAGGTGAACACAGAAGAAATTCTCTCTTCCAGCAAAGAGCCACCAGGCCCACGCTGGCACGGGATGGACGTGCCCAACACGCAGTAGCTGATAAGGCACTTGAAATGACTACAAGCCACGAGGCAACCCGCTGCCAGCCTCCTTCCTTCCCTGCCTCCCCCGGGTGCTTTGCAGATTAACCTAGAGAATGGGGTGTTGCTGGAGAGCCGGTCACCCCGGCTCAAGCTGTCGGTGTGTCACGGGTGGGCAACGTCAGGCCACGTTCACTGGTGGAATTTCTTGCTTGGGCTGTTGGCGTAGTCCAGCAGCAGCTGGCACGGCGTGAACTGGCTGCCATAGACGGCCTCGTACTTCCGCAGCTTGTCCACCAGCTGCCTGGCTCCGTACGAGTCTGCGTACCTGAAGGGACCTGCCGGGGACAGGGGGACACATCTGTGACAGGGAAGCGAGAAGCACCAAGGTGCCTGGAAGGGCGAGAGCACCGGATTCGGCCAAGCCGTCCTTCTCCGAAAGAGACGCCCAGCTTCTTGGCAGGGCAACGCAGGACCCTGCTCCCTGCCTGCCCACCTGCGCTGAGCGGGGGGCAGACTGGATTGCTGGGGACGCGCTGGGGCACAGATAATTGGGACTGCTCCCTTAGTCTGAGCTTGCCTGAAGGAGGGAAAGTGCTAGGTACTCAGCAGAAGCACCACCTCATGCCCAAGAGCCCTTAGTATCCTTCAGTTGTGACCCAAACCTCACCTCATGCTTCGTCCACTGCCCAGGCCATGGCCACAGCCAGCCAGCCAGGTTGCAGATGGGGCCAGGAGAACTTCGCCCATGCTCTTGGCCAGTACCTTGGCCTGAAAAGTGCTGTGCACCGTGGCTGAGGTTTATCAGCTCAGCTTTATCCGTGCACACGTGCAGGCATGAGGAGAACGGTGCATCCTTGGGCACCATTTCTCAACTCTATGTGCAGCACAAGACCAGGTTTCCAGAAGTGCTGCAAGACGCCTGCCTGCCCGCCCAGGCAAGTAGCAGCGGCAAGAGACGAGATACCAGAGCCTCATTTTTCACCGGGCACCATAGGGCTGCACAAAAGCCAGGGCTTTCTTAAAAATGTAGGGCCTTTGCAAGTCTCCCATTCAACCTACAACCCCACGACCATCAGGCATGGTAAAAGCTCTTCCACTGAAATTCTCACGGGAAGTACTGATGAGGCTGGGGCCAGCATGGCTCTGCCCTCTTATTCAAACCCGAAGACACAGCTAAACGGCCTGGCTAGAGTCCCTTGACCCTCACCAGCCACAGCTCTGTGAAACAGCTGTGTACCAGCAGAGGAACTCCACAGCGTCCTGGCAGAAACGTCTCTCAGCAGCTCTCAGGCTCACTGCCACCTCTCATGGGGCGGGAACGTTAAAGGAACCTCTCTGGCTCAGGCTTTACATGGGAGAAGGACACTCAGGCTTGTCAGACGGCAGCTCAAACCTGGCCTTAACAGCTGACTCGCCTCTGGTGGCTAGAGCCCACTAGGCAAGCCCACTACGAAGCTTCTGAGCCAAGCCATACAGCCTAGCCCAAACCCCAGCTGAACCCGCTTACCTCCCAGGCACGGCGGGAAGCCCAAGCCGAACACAGCACCAATATCTCCCTCCACGGGATTGCTGAGGATCCCTTCCTGCAGGCACATGGCTGCCTCGTTCACAAACCTCGTCACGAAGCGCATCTGGATGTCCTCATCAGTACAGCTGCAAGGAAAGAGTCTGTAAGGGCTGTGCAGGTAACACAGCAGCTGGATGGAGGAGCACGTGAAGCCAGCACAGACTGGGGACAGAGCCAGGCCTGGGGTAGGGGAGAGAACGGTTTCTCACTGAGACTGTCCCTGTCCACATGAGGATAAGGACTAAGTTCTGTGACGTGTCCTGAAGCAGACACGTAAGAATGCCAAAGGCTCGATCAGGCCAGATGGGAACTGCTCCAGGAGATGCTTCGGTGCCAGGCTGCACGACAGGTCTGACGCCAGGAAGGTCACGGCAGGGGCTGCACCAACCCGCCTGCCCGGACAAGCCCCACCACAGAAAAGCTTTCTGCAAAGGTGCCCAAGCAAATGCTGATAAATTCGAGGATGCCCCGTTCCTGCTAGCACAGGCTCTCCAGAGCCAACAGCCTGCCCCCCTGCACGCCAGCTGGGAACAGCCAAATGCCATCTGGAGTGACTCCACGTTCAGCACCGTCCTCCAGTGCTGCCTGGTGCAGCCCTTGTGCCGCTGCTCAGAGGCAGAAGGAGCTGGGGTGAGAGCCAGCCCACACCACCACTCAAGCATGCACAGCTACTTACACTTCAGGTTTGGCTGGCACTTTAAACCGTGCCAAGATCTCATCCATGCCAGAATTCACGCTCCTGTTCTTCACCCCCTCCTGGTAAATATAAAAGCCTTTCCCTGCCTTGCGACCTGCCGGGGATAAAAAAAAGACAGTCACATCCTGCCACGTGTCCCGTTTGCTCCCGACACCTTCACCTCTGATCTTCTTGTGACTCCTGCTTCTGTTAGCATGAGCAGATCCTCCCAGCACAGGCAGCGTCTCTGCACTTCAGAGCGAGCCTCTTCGCTGCCTCACCAAGGACAGAGGGAAGGGGGGCCCACGTCCAGCTGACTCCTTGGCAAGATGTTGCCACTCTGCCAGGCCCTAATGCCTTCACTAGGTCCAGAGGACAGTCAAATAACGCCACCGTTTCCGTGGCCACAGCAGCAAAAAGACACGGTCCTTGCCCACACTTGGGAGCAAGGCACAGAGATGACAAGATCTCCTGAGCAACCCTTGCTGCCAGGGGTCTGGTCACAGCAAGGGTCATTGGAAGGTGAGAGCTACCATGGTCCAAGTGCAGGTCCCACTGATGGACGCTGCTCTGTCCTGGCACGCTCAGAGGCACAGCTGCCTCTGGCACCCAGTGCCACCAGGGCACAGCTTCTGCCACGCAGACAGAGCCATAATCTTTCCTTGCACAGAGCTTCTAAACCTCAGTTCAGGGCTTGTTTGACTTGAGCACGTTTATTTCCAGCCATTTGCTCCCCATGTCCCAGAGCGCTTGCGCAGGTTTCACAAAGGGGCCAGAGAGAGGTTCATGAGATCTTGTCTGCTGCCTTTGCTCTGGGCAGCATCTTTGCCTGCTGCTGCCGTTTCTGCAAAGGAAGGTCTGGCCACAGCCAAAGGTCTACCCAGGGTACAGCTGGGAGGGATTCCCGACCCATTCCCAGGGCTGTTCTCTGACTGCTCTCACCTGAGGCAGAAGAGGCTGATGGATGCTAGTACTCTTCCTTGAACAAAGGGAAACATTCCATTAAAACAGCGTAGTGTCTCACCTAAGAAGCCTTTTTCCACCATGAGCTTGAACAACTCAATGCTGCCTCCTCCAAAGCGCTCGCCAAAGGCCTTGCCAAGGTCCTCAGCCACGTGCGTGGCCACATCCACACCCACCTCGTCGATCAGCGTGGCAGCACCCACAGGAAAGCCAAAGGCCGTAGAGATGGCGTCTATTTTCTTTGGGTCAATGCCCTCCTGCAGGAATAGAAGGGGAAGCAATGGTATCTCTGGGTGAGGGTCCTGGAAAACCAGCGCGGGGAGCCACGGACTGCGACCAGCCCCATTAGCCGTTTGATTACGGACAGGAGAGTGTAATCGTGCTTGCACCAGTCCTGACTCTCCCCTGGTGCCACGTGGGGAGGAAAGAGCCTCATCACTGCCTGCACCAGGTCTCATCAGACCACAGCTCAGCCAAGAGCAGGCTGGGGACAACCATGGGCACCGGGGCTGGTTACCCACCTTCCTTCTTGGCCAGGGCTGGGGTCAGCCTCATCGGGGGCAAGGAAGCAGCAGAGTTTACACGACTATTTGGCAGACGCTCGGTAGCTGATGGGATACATACCTGGAGAACTCGGACCACTTCTGCCAGCATCGGCCCCAGGCACCTGGTGGTGTAGAAGCCAGGCCCGTCCTAGGGAAGAGGAGTGCAGCAGGAAGGCAGGTGAGTACAAACTGCAGGAACACGGCCTCTCTCAGCAGCACAAGAACTGCGTTTCGCAGCCCAGGCTGCAGTTCAGGCACTGACATGCAGGGCAGACACACTGAACTCCATTTCTAACAGCATGTTATCGACTGCTAGAATTTTTTTTCCCTGTAGGGCTCAGCAGTATTCGAAGACTTCCATGAACTTACTCCCTGGAAGTTCCCACCAGAGTGTTTTTATTTGAAACAGTGCCTGGAGGTCCCAAGCAGGCTGCAGAGTTCCCCTTGCTTCAGCCAAGCCCCACAGGCTGATAGGGGGAAAGGGTGCTCAGCACAAGTGAAACAGGCGTAAACCAGATGTTTCACCTCTGATATTACTCACAAAGTCAGGAAGCAACAGATTAGCTGCAAACTGCCATTCAGAGATGCATCTGATGCGGGGATGAGGGTTAGAGAAGCAGCACTGTATCTCCACTGGCCTTTAGAGATGCCTGGAGCACTTTTAGACAAGCCAGCTTTCCCAGCACCACAGGAGAGACCTGCTCAGCGTTGCTGGCAACCTCACACATCAGTGAAGAGACCAATCCAAAAATACACTCGAACTGCCCTGAGCCCACTGGCTGAACCTCCCACACAGCTGAAACAGCATCACTGGTGCTTTCTACTACAGAACATGAGACCAGCTCCCTTTGGAGGGCCGTGTGTTCAACAGCAGCTGTCAGCCTAACAAACCTCTCAAAGCCCATGGCTTTTCTGACGCTCTGCTGCCTCTTCCTACAGATCACAGTGGTTTGTTCTCAATTCCTGCTTCGCTGTGCTGTGCTCAGTCTTCCGCCTCCGCTTGGTACAGCTCTTCCCCTACACTTGCACATCTATTTCTGCCCCCTCTCACAAAAGATTTAAATCCAGAAAGAGGAGGGTTACTGCTCACAGGCCCCTCTGCCCTTGCAGCTTGCCAGGGAGAAGAGGTGGTGAAAGTCCTGTCCAGACTCTGCTCCATCTCGGATGCCACTACAGATTTCAGCCTCCTTTCAGACCCCATCTGGAGCACTGTGTCCAGCTCTGGAGCCCTCAGCATAATGGACCTGTTGGAGCGGGTCCAG